GGACTTTTTCTGGGAAGACCTGATATGTGATTTAAATGCTGCAGAACTGAGAGCAGCGCTACTCAGTGTGGGATTGGCAGACAGCAAAGGTGAGCTGTTTGTTTCCAATCCACAGTGAGATAAGTAAAGGAAATAAGAGCGAGCATTCAGAAGCTTTTATAATAATTCGACATTTCTATGACACTTAAGAATGTGACTGAATGTTATAAAAGTATTGGTCCACAACAGACTGGAAATAAGAAAACTGGGTCTCTGACCACAGGTCAGTTTGGGAAGCCCTGTCCCAGAGGAACTCTCACCCGTGTGCCAAGAGCGCTGTACAGGACTCTGCTTAAAACCACTACATTCCTGTGGGGGCGGGGGGGAGTGCAACAGCCTAAATGTCTACTGTTGGGATAACATATCACAAACATCATATGTCCTAAGAAAGAATATCATTCAACAATTTAAAGTGAATGAAGTTTATAGATCTACTGTATGAACACAGATAAATCAAATAATTTTGAATAAAAGAGCAAGTTACAAAGTAATACCTACATTATGGCAATTATGTAAAATATGAACACAACAGAATGATATATTTGCACACATGATAAGTGGCTAACAACATCGAGGGAAAGGTGCCCACTCACAGCGGTAGAGAATTTCACTCTGGGCAGAGAAAGTGGGTAATAGGATGGCAAATAGGCAAAAATAATAAGAAGGCTTCAACTATACAATATTTTATTTCAGTTTTGAAAAACAAGCAAAAATATGGAAAACTATTTACATTTATCATATCTAAATGGCAGCTATGTAGATGTTAAATTTTTTCTGTATTTAAAAATATTTCACAGTAAAATTAGCCTCAGAATATTATTTTTTTTCTGATCTGGAAAGCAAATGGGGGACATCTGGGGAACTTTATTTACCTGCCATGTCCGGGGACACATTTGTCTTTCCAGTGACTCAAAACCAGACATCAGTCTAATGGGCAATTCTACACCTCAGGGCTAAAGAGGAAGCCTTGTTTCAAGGCACCAGAGCAGACTCAGAGATGACTGGGTTCTGGTCCCAGCTCTGTGATCAACTTAACTGTGACTGTGGTTTCCCGTATCAAAACCTCCATTGCCTTCACCATGAAATTAGTGCTATGAGACTATTTTCAATGTTGACATTTTACAACTTATATAAATTATATATAACTGTGTATTTGGAATGCTGCCAAGACTAGTGACTTCATGCTCCTTTTTACAATAACTGTAGAGGCTAAAGGAACACATGGAATGAACACAGATGCAGGAATAAGATATAGATATTTGTGCCATGGAGTCATGTCTGGGTTGAAGTCTTGCCTTGCAGACATTTACTAACTATGAGCCTTTGGGGTCTTCAAATAGTCTGATTCTCTTTTTCTTAAAATGAGAATAACATAGCACCTACCTCAGCTTGGAAAGATATGATGAGACAATAGTATTACTGTTGAAGATGTTACAGGTGGGCACCTTAACTGCTGTGCCAGGAAAGGTACTAGAACAAATTCCCGAATAGCTTAACTGCAGCCATGGGAGGAGCGTAACACACCAACCATTCCTTGAAGTAGTAATAAACTAAGAACGAATTTTCCAAACTAAATTATGCCACATTCTTTTATAACCATACATTTGAAGTGATTTAGTAAAAGTTCTCATCACAAGAAAAAATTGCAACTATGTGAGATGGATGTTAACTAAACTTAGTATAGTAAGCATTTCTCAATACATATACATATATCAAGTCATGTTGTACATCGTAGACAAGTACAATGTCATATGTCTCAAAACCAAAACAATTATAAATATAAAACAATTATATCTCAAAACTGGAAAAAAAAACCCAAACCAAGAAAAGATCCCTTGCTGGTGTAGCTTAGCAGAGTGAGCACAGGCTGCGAACCAAAGGGTCACTGGTTCAATTCCCAGTCAGTGCACATGCCTGGATTGCGGGCTAGGTCCCCAGTGGGGGCCAAATGAGAGGTAAACACACATTGATGTTTCTCTCCCTCTCTCTCCCTCCCTTCCTTCTCTCTAAAAATAAATAAATAAAATATTTTTTAAAAATCACTCACTCTTAAAAAAGAGAAAGAAAGAAAGAAAGAAAAATTTATTTAGAAATGTTCTGTCTGAATCCTAACTAGAGGATGAATCATAGATTGCTTCCATCTCTTGAATTCTCTTTTATGTGGACTGTGGTTAAATGGCCCTAATTGTTTACACAGAAAAAAAAAACCAAAATTGGGGATACTCTTGATTTGTAATTTGTTCTTTGTAATTTGTACTCTTGCCGTTAATTTGTAGAGAACACACCAAAGCAGAACCAGATGGCAATGGGAGCAAAAGAACCACTGGTCGAAGTTTGCATTAGTGAGTCTCAAAGCCAAGTTATGATTTGCTATGAACAGAAAGTCTTGCTTAGTCACACAAGGCACGATTAGTGAGGCTGGGCTCATTGATCTGCTGACAGAGTATATGCCGATAAATCTAAGTTTTGAAGGCTTGGGTTACAAGAAGCTGTGAGGGATCACAGGGGCCTGGTGAATGAAAAGCTTCTGTACCTTATCAGCAGAAAGATAACAGAAAGGCCCTAGTCCCACTGCCAGTGCTGGGGAGATCTTTATCACCCAGGCTTCTGAGAACAGGAGTTTGACCCAAAGCAACACTTCAGAAGCAATGTCAACATACTCAAGCCTGTGGCCAGCAAGGAATTCTCAGAGATAAGATTACAACCCGGTCCTTAAAGGGACGCCAACCTAGTCAGTCGATCTCCAAATATTCCCTCAGCAGAGCAGCCCTGTAAGTTATTCTTCATAGCAGAGAACTTCAGGAGCTCATTTTTTGTGCTTCTCGATCCAAATAGTCTACTGTTATTTTCTAAAATATGTACAAAACTCTCGCAATGTCTAAGAAAGTCCCTGCAGTGTCAGTCTTGGTGTCCTTGAGATCAGCTAGTTGTAGAAGCTAGAGATAGCTCTCTGTTGGCAAAAGCATTCATTCACCTTCTCTCGGGATTTTGTTTCTTCTTTTTCTAGGCCAGAGAGCCTCTAAGGCTAAATTAGACCTTTAGGCTAGGTCCAGGATGAAGTTATTATGGGAAAAGGTGATTCAGTTTTAGAGATAAGTGGGTATTAAAAAAAAACCACTCCAATAATTTATTTAAATACCTAGTCATGAGTTTGGTTTAACTATCAGTATACAAACTGGCACTGGAGTGATAGGAGAAGGGTGTTGGGGGGGTCAAGGTAAAGCTGGTCAGGTATTCCCCCAAGACCATGTTGGTAATGAGAAGAAGCAGCATATGCAGAAGTAACTCACCTTTGATTGCCATCCAGACACTGACGGTACCACTTGTTGCTTTGAAATGCCTCCCATTCATTCCTCACTGTCCCTGAGCACAGCCCTAGTGTGGCCTGCTAGATTCTAATTGCCCCCTTCCCAGGGATACGCTATATATGAGGTCTGTCCAGGAAGTATCCAGCCATGTACTATGAAAAATAGACCTATTTACTGAAGAAGGTACAAGAGACATTGTACATAGGACGAGGATGCCTTAGTCCCCTTCAAAGTAGAAACCTTGGGGCCTCACACAGTTCTCCCAATCACCATCTGCTGGCCCATCGTATTTTCCTGAATCTCACTAATAGTCTGAAATCTCTTCCCTTTCGAAGGTGACTTTAGTTTTGGGAAAAGCTAGCTAGAAGTCACAGGGTGCCTAATAAGGCTGTACAGGGGGCTGAGTCACCTGGGTGATTTGATGTTTTGCCAAAAAACTGCACAAGACATGAAGCATGAGCAGGCATGTTGTCATGATGAAGCTGCCAATCACCAGTTGCCCATAGTTGTGGCCTTCTGAATCATCTGAATAGTTTCTGCAGGGGAATGTTCAAGCTTAATGCAACATTTGATGTGGTCATTGCTCTATTCGTTCAGTCATTGTGAATGGGACATTCACTGTGAATGGGACACAGTGCACATGCTCACTCAATAGCGTCTACCGTCCCAACAGACTAACACAGTGAAGTTGTCAGCCATGAGCATTCCAGTCCACTCTCCTTGGCTGCCAGGTTACACTGAAGTCAGGCAACCCATTCTTGTTATATTAACAATTGCTAGACAGACTTTGTATAGTTACCAGATTAATTAACAAACAAACAAATAAAACCTTTTTATCATCATTCTGGTTAAGTCTCACAATAAAGTTTATACTCCTCTAGTTTATTATTAAGTATCCTCACTAATCCTTCTATCCAGTTTCTTCTCTGTTAATCTTCATTTCATTCAAAAGATCTCTTTATGGGCTATGATAACTTAGCTTTCCAATTTTCCTGCCTCTATGCTTTTGTCCCCTCTCTCTCTCCCTTTTGGAATTTCTTCTCCCTCCTCCTCTAGTCAGACAATCTCTTTCTCCACCCCTTTGCAGACCAGTCCCGCCAACACTGATCTGACCCTCCTCTGAACTCCGCTGCTTTATCGTGTAGAGTGCATAACAGCACTTGGGCAATTAGGCACATACTTCTGTGTGAATTTATCTGTACTCTGTGTGCTCTGACTTGCTCTTTCACTCATCTCTCCTTCCCTCTGCTTCTGTGTGAATGTGAGTGTGTCTGTGTGTGTGTGTAGCTACATAAAAGGTTTATGAAAATAAACACTGACTTACATATCTTTAGAAAACACTAATAATTGCTCCATAACATTGTTACTGGTTGGTAACTATTGCTCGGGACCTTGATCTTTCCGTGAAAGAAGGCGTCTTTGTCTTCTCTTCTGGATCCACAGCGCCTGCCGTGGTACCTCATACATTAAAAGCTGAGTGTGTGTCGGTTACTACTGCTGCTCCTGAGAGCGTGTCCTTGACTGGGGTCTGCAGCTGGCCTTGACATTCTGCCTTGTGTTCTAGCTTCCTGAGGACAGAGCTGCCTCATGCCCAGGCTGGCAGGCGCCGTAACCGCCTCTGACACGCTACCTCTGTCTGTCCTTTTCCCTCAGATGCATACTCTCACTCCTCAAGTGAAAATGGAGGCAAGTCCGAGTCCGTGGCCAACCTGCAGGCTCAGCCCTCCCTGAACTCCATCCATAGCTCCCCCGGCCCCAAACGCTCCACCAACACCCTTAAGAAGTGGCTGACAAGTCCTGTGCGCCGGCTGAACAGTGGGAAAGCAGACGGAAACATCAAGAAGCAGAAGAAAGTGCGTGATGGTCGGAAGAGCTTTGACCTGGGATCTCCCAAGCCTGGTGATGAGACGACCCCTCAGGGAGACAGTGCTGATGAGGTATTAACAGGTGGCCGTCAGGAAGGGGCTTCTGACATACATCCCTCCTGGAGCCCTGGGAGGCATCTTTCCACGGGTGCGGTGAACTAGACAGTCTCTCGTCCCCGGTAGTGTTTCTTATTGAGCCTAAGTAACCCAGGTTCAGTGTATTGTCAAGACCTTGCCAGTTTGATTCGTGACCAATTCAGATTGGCCAGCACTCGGGATATCTAGCAAACAGAGCCAATTTTGCCAGACTTGGCTCCAAGGGGAGCCAGCTAGTCACCCAGTGCCCTGCCGCTGCTAAGGACTGCATCAAGCCTTGCAAGGCCTGTTTAGAATAGGAATGAATGCATAGAGACCATTTCACTTGGAGATTGCTGGGAGATTATAGCTGTTTGCAAGTATCTTGAGCAGGGCCCCATATAAAAGGGAGTAGACACGTCCCGTTTGCTCTGGAGGGGAAAATTATGACTAACAGGTGAAAGTTATAACAGGTAAGGTTTCAGCTCAAAGAGACTTCACAGGGGTGCAAGGGGTTGCTAACTAGTGATGGAATGAGCTTTCATGAAAATGAATGAACACCCATACTGGAAGGGTTTGGAATGCTGTATGATCTCACATAACAGAGAGATGCCTGTGTTAGCCAAGAGGTCCTTTGGGGTGACCTCTGAGGGTCCTTCCAAAGCTGAGATTCTGGGATCAAAATACAGTGGGTATGTTTTAGTTGGTGGAAAGAGATAGCTGTTTTATCTGGCAAACTAACCTACTCTAGTCACTCATGTGGCTAAGAAGTACTTCCTAATATGTAACCAGACTCTCTGTAATTTTACGCTATCTGCCATTTCTTCCTGTGAAAATGGCAGTGGAGCCTGGTGATGATCAGATTGTGGTTTAATAGTCCTTCAAACACGTAAAGAGTTAGGCTCTCTCTGACCACACTCAGCTTTCTCACTGGCTAATCAATGGGGCGGGTGTTTCTCACGTGTATCCCCTCTTGGCCCTCACGGCTCTTCGAGGTAAGCAAATGTACCTGTTCTGTAGGGGCTAAAAAACAGGAGTCTGTTGAGAGAGGAAGTATCTTCTATATTGCTTTTTTAAAAGTTGCAAGTCCACTGGCATTTTTAACTATATGAAACAGTGACTAATGCTATTCTTTTGTTCTAGAAGAGCAAGAAAGGTTGGGGTGAAGATGAGCCAGATGAAGAATCACATACCCCACTCCCTCCACCTATGAAGATCTTTGACAATGACCCTGCACAGGATGAGATGGTGGGGCTTCTTTACTTTCTCACTTGAAAGAGCAGTGCATAACGCATGTGATTTCATTTTGGGGGGGTGGGTAGTAATATTCTCATCCTTGTTACCCCTTACACCACATGAGTCCCTGGTGATGCAGATTCTGACTGTGTTTGGTAGGGGTCCCCTCCCTTCCCCTGGCAATCTGACTTCGTTCTGGGCAGTGTAGCCACGTGTGCAGGTGCTCAGAGTGGAATCTGCCTGGCACCTTGTCCTGTTGATGAAGGGTCATGGCTCTCTGTCTTTGGAAGCAGCAGATCCCAAAAGGCACTATTAGTCTCAAAAAGGAATCCGAGGTGGTTCTAGGCCATAATGGTTTTCTCGTACCTGACTGCATGACCTTCGTTTTAGTTGGTTGTTTTCCCTATGCTCAACTCTAAAACTGAAATAACAGTAACTTCCGGTCATGCTCAGTGCTGTTAAAATTCTGCAAACACAGCATGAGGGCAGAGATGCTGTGAAGGAGAGGCTGCTGTCAGAGGTGGGCAAACCTAACATGCCAGCTTGCGCATGTTCTCTGTTTTGCAAAAATGCCCAGACTCCCTGGCAGAGAGGCTCATGGAGCCTCTCTGAAGCATGATGTCCACTGGGCCTCTAATCGCAGAGTGGTCATTCCGGTTGTTCTGGAGCAGAGGCTGAGGTTGGCTGTGCTTTCAGGTTCTGACCCGAGGCCCGAGGCTGTGTTAGTCATGCACTGCGTTCTGCTTTTCCTGCCTTCTCTTAGAGTTGCTGTCCTTTGGACCCTGGAGTTGGTTGGAGTGGTGGTTTCAGTTTGTGACTATACTTTGCATCTGCTTTCAGAGCGTTGTTCGGTGGTGGGGTGGGGGTGGGGGTTGCGGCGGTAGTCCCCTGGCCTCTCTCCAGGGTTGCGCTGTGCTCTCTGGTGCCCTGCCTTGAGCGGGGCGGGCTCCTCTGGTGCTGAGGCTCCAGCATACACCACCACCTGGGGTACAGCTCAAAAAGGACCGCAGATGCTTCAGCATTCCTAGTGATAGCCCGGTTCTTTCTTGTTCAACTTCTGCTTTACGTTTGGGTCATGAACCTACAGACATTAATTGAGGGCTTCCTCTGTGCCACAGGGACAGGTTCTAGGGACAGGATGATGACTAAGATGTGGTCGCTGCCACCCTCTGTGACTCACCCATGAGAAGCACACAGTTGTGGCCCCTCCTAAGGTGATGTTGGTGACCCTGGTCTCCAGGGTCAGCCCTGACTCTTGACCGTTGGGAAAAAAGTAGCAGAAGCATGGCACGGTGCCATCCTGGATTCCCAGAGGCCCATCCTTGTGAGATGCTCTGCAAACGGCGATAGTGTATGTGGGGTAGGCCACTCCCGCCCCAGTACTTGCCGTCCCACTCAGCCCTCCACACCGAGGGGCCCGTTCGCATAAGATAAGTAAAGGTCGCGAACCCTCCCCCTCCGATACCCTCAGAACAGCTTATTTTGGGGAGAAGGATGTTATGTTGTTTCTGGATAACTTTTAACTAAAAATGCGGATTTACCCGCAGACATTTATGTAGACTTTTCTTAGCCCAAAGTAAGGCAGATGGCAAGTCCCTTTTTATGCTCATTAACCCTCTTCAGTCCTGTTTGTTGGACTTCGGTGCCTTGGGTTTTCTGGAATAGCCAAGTTTTTCCAGATCCTTTGGAATCTGGTCTTTTGGTGATCCTCAGAACTTTCAGCAAATGGCATTGGATTTATAAAAATAATTTATAAAAAACACTGTGAAAGGAGTTTTTTAAAGTCCACCCATTGTTAATGTTGTGAAATTAGGTCTCCGTGTTTCCTTCTAATATTTGTTCACGTGTGTTTTATTTAATGTTTCCTAAACCCTCATTAATTTTACCTACATAACCGTAATTTCAATAGCTTGGGAGTACTGCATGTCTTTGACGTGCCATAATGAGCGTGACCCGCCTGTTTTCAGAAATCCTAGGTTGTTTCCAACCTTTGCCACTTTGGGTAGTACTGACACAGGTCCCACGTCACGCACAACATTTGTTCTTTTCGTTTCTGCCCCTGGAAAAAGTTCCGGGGTAGAATTACTGAGACTGATAAAAAACTGATAACTTCCATTTCCAAACAGACTTACACATTTTTCTTGCATTCCCCAGGAGAGGGAAAAAAAAGAGTGTTTTTTATATCTCTCTTAATTACATTGATTTCATTTTTTTTTTACCCTATCTTAGAAGCAAAGACCTAAACTCACACTTAGATTAGGCAAAAAGAAGCTTCCTTTCTGAAACTCTCCCCCCTAACTTTGGGGACACACTGGAATTTTCGTCCCTGGACATCCAACTCTCCACTCCCAGGGTCATCTGGGTCAAAAGCGGAAGGCGTGTGCACCCTGGCACCCTGGGAACGCCCTCTCCCTCGGCTCTGACATGCCAGGGGGCAAGGCTTGCATGTGCACATAGGGTTGGTCGTTCCCCCAGTTTCTTCTGAAGCAGGAACAGGGAGAAGACCTACCTCCACTCCTCAGTGAGTGGGAGTCCCCAGGCCACCGCGCAGACACCCACGTGGACTAAGCCTTATTGTGGGTGTGAGGGAAGAGGGGCAGGCCCTGGCCTTGGGCCTCCCTCCTCTGTGAGCAGGAGAGTCCCTCCTTCTCGGAAACAAGTTACACAAGTCCTGCCAAAGCCTTGTGTTACCTCCTAGTGTGCCAGTTTGCAGCAGTGTGTGTGTCTGAGTGTGCATGGGGTGGGGTCTACCTTTCTGGTCTCTGAGTGCTCTGCCCCCCAGCATTTTTTATTTTTGCTTGACACACAGTGAAGATCTATGTTAAGATCTACACCTAAATAAAGCAAGGATAATTTCTCTTCTTCAAACACACTCCAAGCTAGCTTTTTTGACTCCTTTCACAGCCTGGAAGAACAAAGGGCAGCCCTGTAGTGGCCCGAGTCTTATCCACCCACCACCCCAACCCCACCTCTCACAGTAGCACAGCCCTTACCTACTGGCCTCTCAGGGGACACAGCAAATCCCCACCCGCCTCAGCTCCTTAGGTGGCCTGCCTAAGGAGGGCCTAGTCTCACTCCTGCTTCAATTCTGACCAGAATTTCTGATGAAGGGTCTGGCAGGCCTGCCCCACACCCACACCTGCTATGTCACCTCCTCCCTGGAAACTCCCTAGAGCTTTGCTTGCCTTGCCTGCCTTGAGCTTTGGACTTGCTGTTTTGCTTGCTGATTGCTATTCCTCATTCCTTGCTAATCTGCTTTTCCTCTGCTGCTCAATGTCTTGCAGTCCTCCTCTTTGCTAGCAGCCCGGCAGGCTTCCAGCGAAGTGCCTACTGCTGCAGACCTTGTCAGTGCAATAGAGCAGTTGGTCAAAAGCAAGCTGGTAAGTGGGGCCCGAGAGGCAGCTCTGCCTGGATCTCCCCTCCAAGTGGCTCCTAGGGCCCGGCATCTGTCAGCAGTGTTCTCTGTTGCTCCTACCCTCGTTCCTCTGACAGGGTGGCTTCCAGCTAGTGGTGCTTTCTAAAAAGCTGTGCCCCAGAGTGCTTTTGGGATTTGTTTGGGAGCGGGTGTGGGCAGTTAACAGACTCTTTTGGGATTGTGACATTGACGAGAGGTGAGAGGTGAAAGGTATTCAAGACAAAATAGCCTCCCAGTAAGCCTGGTCCACTGGGCTCCAGAGCAGCGACATTTTGACAGTGACTGATGTGTGTCTGGTTAGCCTCGAAGCTAACTTTGCTGCAGAGACACAGAATGCAGATTGGATATTTGAAAGCACCGAGTAATTGTATTTGGGGACCTCAGATAGTCTTCTAGCTTGCGACTCACACAAGTGGACGGCTGATTCTGAAGGAGAATGCGCACAAGTACGTGGACACCTCCCACAAGACACTAAGGGAGCTGGTGCGCATCCTGTAATGAGCCTGAGCTGGTTCGGGGCTTTGGCATTCATGCTGGTGACAGAGCTCCTTTACTCCCACATTTTTACATGTAAATGTACTGTAATGGAATAAGCAAGAATAATAATAATAATAATAATAATAAGTGTCTCGATACAGCATGACAATTTGAAGCCCTTTCCTTTGCTCTCATCTATGTCACTCACTTTGTTTTTACTGCAACTCTCATTAGGACAAGTGTCCGTGTTCCTGCCAGACTCCTGTCAGGCAGTCCTGTATATCAGCGCCATTTCAACCCTTCTCCATTTGGCCCAGGAATGAGAGGGAGTGAGAAATACTCTCCGGGGAAAGCCACCTGATAGTAATTTTAATTACAGGAACTCCCTCTTTAAATATCCCAGCTCTCATGGAGTACCAATGAACTTAACCTGTATGACTTTCTTCTTTTCCTCCTAACTTTCCTTCCTAATTAAAAAGAAAAAACCTTAGCTGGTGTTTTCAGTGACGAGTGCCAGCCTCTGGGGGGTTGTTCGGTTCCTGCCGCCTCTCCCTGCCCCACTGGTGGGGGTCGGGCGCTGTCATGGGCCTGCACGCACTTTTCGAAGCTCCCCTCTCTGGCCACTCCTTATTTGCTCCCCTTTCCTCTACACACTAACCCACACAGCCTCTTCATTCTCCAAATACCATAAAAAATATTTTATTTCCTTAAAAATCATCCTGCCCTGGCCAGTCTGGCTCAGTTGGTTGGAACATCGTCCTATAAACTGAAAGGTGGTGGGTTCAACTCCTGGTCAGGACACATGCTTAGGTTGCAGTTTGGCCCCCGGCTGGGGCTCATTGGAGAGGCAACTGGTGGATGTTTCTCTCCCTCTCTCTCTCCCTTCCTCCCCTTTCTCTAAAAAAGAAAGTCAATAAGCATGTTCCCAGGCGAGGATTTTAAAAAATCACCATTTTTTTGCATTTTCTCTTTAGCCACCCGAGCCTGGGCCCTGACCTCATGATTGCAGTATCCATTGCTTGATCTGTCCCCGCCCTGGTCTGCCTCCCGGCCTCACTCTGCGGCTGCTCCTTCAGCAGCACTGTTTATTGCCTCCCTCCGCGGTGAAGGCTCGCCACCTCCCTGTAGCCCACACAAGCAGTTGTTTCCACTGTGGGGTGCCTCCAATGCACACGACAGTTTATTGAGATGCAGGAAGGAAAGATTGGCGTCTCTTTATCTCATTGTTTGATGGTTTTGTGTATGTTTTAATATGTCCATATGGTAACATAGTAGCACAGATATATGTGTATAATTTGTAAATAAGTTCCATGCTTTGGATATGCATAACCAAAATTATGCTGATAGAGGTATATAGTCAATGTTTGGAAATCACTGGCCCATACAGAAAGTCCACATTTACTCAGATTTCTAATGCTTTGCAGCCTCTGCCCAACCTGTCTTAGCAGCGTCCACTTGTTATTGTGGTTGATGAACTCGGAATTGTTTTCTTCACTGTCCCCAAACACGCATTTGGCTGTGCTGCCTCCACATTTCTGTCCATACCACTCCACTTCCCTGGAATGCGCTCCCCCTCATTTTCCCTCACCCGACGTGTAATAGTTATTCAAGGCCCCACTCAAATCCCGTCTCCCCACAAGAGCCTCTCTTGACAGCCCAGGCCAGCTGTCGTGTGCGGTCGGTCCCACGGTAGCCACCGTGCAAACCGCACCCTGCCCCGCCCCGCTGTTCGGTGGCCCTGCTGTGTTACTCATTAAAATGACTTTCAACAAATGAAAATCATTTCATTTACCTCTCCAGGGAGATGATTTGTCATTTAAGACAGTGTATTCTCCTCCACTATAGGCAACTTCTACACGTGTATCAGTAAACATTCGTTTCCAACAGTCCGTATTTTTTTCATACTTTGGATTACCTTTCTTCTACAGCTGCTGCTCACCTTAGCACTGTCAGGAGTCTGTGTGAGCCATGGGTGTGGTGTGGCACATGTTGAGCGCAGACACTGAAAAGTCCCGTAAGAGCAGGTTTCCCAAAGCAGAGGAGCATAGGCCGGTGGCGGAGTCCATTGGCGGAGTCCATTGGCCCTGTAACAGGCTCTCTGCAGATGTCTTTGGATGTATGGCCTTTCTGTGGTGAGTTTACCATAACAGGGTCTTTAACTTCTTCCACTAATAACTACTTCTTGACCTGCAGTGAGCCTAGAATTATAGAGATTTCTTTGGCTGGATATACAAAACCAAGCTCGTATAGGGGACAGGAACCAGGGAGCAGTGGTTTGATTTCTCAGAATCTTCTCACCGAATTCAGTCCGTTGTCCTTCCTTCTCTCTTTCTTCCCGTCCCCATATGTACCCATCATGGGGCAGCAACAGGGCCAGCAGTAGCTGGTGCTTTCCTCAGCCACATTTGCAAACACTGAGTTGCATTTTCATCTCCAAGTCTTGTATTCCTCTTCCCTATCAGCTCTTTAGCTTAGAAGAGGGTAAGACCTAGAGCCCGTAAAAGTTCGGGAGCTTTTATTTGACTGTAAGAACAACAATGTGAGTGCTGCCAAAAAAGCCAGTGTGGTCAGGCTGGGTTAATGGAAGTACAATGTAGAGATTCAGCAGAATCCCTCGAGCTTTGCACTCGAACATTGCACTCAAGCTTTCAGACCACACCTGTCCTGAGCTGTGTGTGAGTCATGCATTGGGTTCTGAGCCTGGCATTTCAAAACACTCTTGAACTCATTGGAAGTCACCCCCAAAGGGGTAGCCAGTACCATGTGGTCCATGTCATTTGAAAGAAAGCTGAAGAAACTGAGGTTAAGGCCTGACTGGTGTGGTTCAGTTGGTTGGACATTGTTCCACAAAACAAAAGGTCCCTGGTTTAATTCCAAGTTAGGGTACAGGCCTGGATTGTAGGTTTGGTCCCCAGCTGGGGCTTGTGCGAGAAGGAGCGTGTGTGAGAGGCAACTGATCGATGTTCTGTCTCACGCTGATGTTTCTATCTCTCTCCCTACCTTCCCCTCTTTCTACAAAAATAAAATAAAATCTTTTTAAAAACTCTAATTTTAAAAAAGAAACTGAGGCTAAGTGTGGGGACAAGTTAGGAGAGAGAGGACACAAGAGCTGCCTTCTAATGACTGAGCACCACCATAGGAAAGGAAGGTTGGTCTCAGTACTTTCTCACTTACGAGGATGAACCCTAGGCCCGTGGGCGGAAGTTATCTCAGGTCAGTATAAGAAGAACTACTAAGGTCCTTTTCAATGTACAGAGTCTGGGAATTTTACAGGAGTATCTATTATATTTGGACTTTTATATCTAAGGCTTTAATTCTGTTTTGGTTGCTCAAAAGATAGCTCCAAATTCTGCACTCAGAATTCACTTGGCCCCCTAGCTCTTCCCAAAAGCCCTGATGAGATCCCTTGTGTCTCTGAGTTTCCGAGCTGCCCTGGCTGCTTATCCGAGCTTATGACTGCCCCAGGGATACTGCCCTGAGGCTCCCGCCCCGAGTGTCGTGGTCTCTGCTACTTGAGAGCTGCTGTTAGGGAATGAGGACAGGCATTCTCTGCTCTGATGCTGTGCCAGTAAAACCCCTAAAATCCCCAGAACCTCCTTTGGCAAGTCCCTCATGAGCACTCTGAGTTCTCTCTGGCTAGCCTTGGTCTTTAACCCAGGCTTTGTTAACCATGAGGGGATGCCCACCCACCTTCCCAAACAGAGCTAAGATACTTGTTCTAGGTTTTGTATTAAGATATTGTCTTTAATTCTGAGGCAGGACTAAGGACGCCCCCTGCTTTCCCTGTTTGACTTTTAATAAAGCTTTTTCTAGACATGTGGACTGGAGGTGGTGGTGAGTACATAAGAAATCAGAAGACCTAGGTTTTGGTCCTGCCTCTGCTACTTTCTGTGTAGCCCTCAGCAAGTTACTTGGGCTGCTTGGGCTTCAGTTTTATCTCAATTATCAACAATGCTGGTTCTGGCCACCCAAATCTAATCTCAAGAGAGTTAAGGCAAAGACTGTTGAGTGAGGTGTGAATGTGCTTGGTAAACTGGTACCGCGAGCATCCTACAAACATTAGCTCTTAGCCAACTCACAAGTACTATGAAGGGCAGGGAAAGGAAATGTGGTCATACTTTATCTTCTGTAGCCATGTGCTGGGGCCCAGGGACACAGTATTTGTCAACCAGGGTATTGGTAGTTGGGTGAATGTTGCTGGGTGGTAGCTTCAAAATCTGTATGACTTGGTTTCATTCCTCTAAACAGTCCCAAGATTCCCCCACCTGCCTGAGAAGAAGGGCTGAGCCTCCAGAGAGAAAGCCTCCTCCCTGAGGAGGGTCCTCAGGCAGCATCACAACAGTTCACTGGGCTCAGGATGGCACCAGTGGACCCTTAGCTGATAATCCTCTGCCTGTAGGGAAGGCGCTGGCCAGGACTGAGCTTTTGTTCAGTCTGCCTGTGGCTGGGCTTCCTGGGAATGTGTCACCTGCTTCAGCAAGACTACCTACCTTGGGACTTCTGTTTTGAGAGCATTCAGCATCCTAGGCCTGCCCTGGTCAGTCACGGCGGGCCACGTTACCTGGGTAGGACCAGGCTGCATTCCTGTGCGTGCTTTGCTCTCCTTTAGATGAACTGACTTGCTTTGTCAGTGGCAAGGTAGAGTGAGCAGAGGTCCAGAGTCCAGATGGGAAGATACACTGGCCCCTTGTGTCCATTATGAAGGTGTATGTTTTCAGGAACTGGGTTCCTCTGACATCCCTCTATGGAAAATGCTACTGAGCTTGTTGAAATAGAAGAGTTTAGCCCTGGCTGGTGTGGCTCAGTGGATTGAGTGCCAGCCTGCGAACCAAGGGGTCGCCAGTTCAATTCCCAGTCGGGGCACATGCCTGGGTTGCAGGCCGGTCCCCAGTTGGGAGTGTGCAAGAGACAACTGCACATTGATGTTTCTCTCCTTCTCTTTCTCCCTCCCTTTCCCTCTCTCTAAATATAAAAAAAAATTTTTTTAAAGTTTAGGTTTCCACAAAAAAAACTTAACCCAAAGTCACAAACCTGAATGTCATTTGCCTGGAAAAACTGGACTTCGGTTTTTCTACTCTATACTTGCTTTCCCTAACCTCGCCCACGACTTGCCTGGGAAGGACAGAGGGTCTAATACCTGGCACACTGCACAGGTCTGTACAAGAGCGTGGGGCAGCTGGAAGCTGGTGTGGTGGGTAGAGCTGGACCAGCGCCTGGCCTCCTCCTCCATCAGATGAGCTTTGACCTCTCCGCGAGAGTTCCGTGGCGTATTCAGTACATTCTTGGGGTCCTACTCTGTGCCAGCTCTGGGATCAAGCACAAAACCTTCCTTAATGGCACTTGTAGTCCAGGGCCAGCGCTCAGATCCTCTCCCACCTGGACTGTGGCGGCCATTTTCTCTCAGTTCAGTCAGTCTCTCTACATGACTGCCAGAGGGAACTTGATCTTCTTTCCTTTTTTTAAAAAAAAACCATGACGGTTCTTTTTGACTAATGAAAGCAACAGATGTTCGTTTAAGAAAAATTGGAAAAATGACGAGTATAAACAAATTATATCACTTATCATCATCTAGACATATTCAGTGTTGAAATTTAGATGTATTTCCTTCTAGACTCTTTTAAATACTATAATCATAGAGCATATAAAATTTAAGGCCTGTTTTCCTTTGGTATCATATCAGACATCTTCCCAAGTCATGAAAAGGAACATTAAGACCAATCTTTCTAAAACTTAGATTCAGTGACATTGCTTCCCTGCCCCAAATTCTGTCACTGGCCTTAGAAGGTGAAGTCTGTCCTTCTTAACGCTACCCACAAGGCTCCTTACAGTCCGACCCCCGCGTACTTCTCCAGGCTTACTTATTCCATTCCTCACCTCTTTCCCTAGTCCTGACCCACCCCCAACTCACGTAACCCAGTAATCTGCCACCCCTCCACCCCCACCTCCTGCCTGTACCAGGCAGCTTGCGGCTTCCCAGGCTGCCCTGTGTAGTCTCACAACCTGATCCTTTACTCACAGTGCTGCTCTGGACTGTGCTCCCATGGGTATACCCACCCAAACCTTTTTCATTTCTCAATACTCAGTTCAAGGCGCCTCCTTCATTAAGCCTTCCCCTTTCCTCTCCACCCCACCACAGAGCTGCCGGCTGCTTTTTCATCCTTCGCGGCCCCTCTTCTGTCTGGAAGAGCACCCACTGTAGCTGAGATTATGGGGGGGCAGGGAACCCTGTGTCATTCGTCTTTGTTTCTCCGGCACTTTGCAGATATTCAGCATGTAGACACCCGTGTGCTTCGGCGCCGAACAAACGATCATTCACAATACTGTGCACAAATGCTGTGCAGGGGGTGTGTCGAGGGTGCTCCCAGGAGCCCAGAGGAAGGGCGTTTTATGGGTATGTGATCCAAGACCCAGCACACAGGAAATGTGTTCATTTTTAACGTGGGGACAGCCTTCCTCCACACTTAATCTGCTTTTTTGAATTCTATTTGCATTTCTGTTCCCTGACCTTGGACCAACTCTAGGAGCACCCATTGTGCAACTTCTGTTCCTCCCTCCTTTGTACACCTTTTCCTTTGTCTGCTGAGGCTGTTGTGACCTGAGCCCTGGCAGGGCCGTTCTCCCCGTGGCAGTGCACAGCACAGCACACAGCAGCCCCCCACCCCTGGAGCAGCACCAGCAACTGAAGGTCACCCCCAGTGGCCCTTGAGTGGGACCCAACTGTAGCACAGATAGCTAAGTCCTCAGTTGAATTAGTATAAGTATTTACAGCCAACGCCATTATCTGAGGCAGGTTGCCCAGCGTACAGCTGAGCCAAACCTTTTGCTTCCCTCTTCTTCCTCTTGCACAGCTTCTGCCCTTCTCAGCTCCATCCCAGAGATCACTTGGGCAGGACGAGATGGAACATATTTTTCTGCATAACATTTTGGACACCTCAGATGTCCTTCATTCTGCAGAACAGTTGAGAGTGGACCACGCCAAGCTGGATGTTCCACAGGAGAGCTTCGTAGGCAGAGATACAAGCTCGTTTCCCAGGCCTTGCAGCCAGCATCCTGCGCGCCAGCAGGCTGCAGAACAGACTGTAACAGGACGGGAGAGAAGTGAAAAGCATGTAATCAGATCGATCACTCTCTGAGTGCATCTGCCTGGGGAGCTTGTCTCTGGTGGTGGCACCAGGGGACATGTCACATGTCACTGAAAAGACTGCCTGGCCAGTGGCTTGTCAAGCCTCAGCACCAGACACTCATTTCCTTAATAACTGGTTACAGATTCTGAACCATTAAATTTAGCTAAACTCTTCCTGACCTTTTTATATTTTTAGACTCTGCTGCTTCTCAGGATAACAGAGTCCATGGTTGATTACTTGTTCTATAAAATACCTTCCCATCAAATTAAAAGAAATTCTCTTTCTCAAGCTTAAAAACCCTGATTTCTTCACTCTAGTTTCCACTGTTGCTAACAAATTCCTGTTTGGCCCTTAGCACATTCTGTTCATTTGGACATTGATTGGGGAGTGCGGGGAAAAGGTTGACACCTCTCTTCAGCGTTAAGTTTTTCTGCTTCAAGTCTTAATATTCTCCACCTGTTCTCATGTGGTGGCCCTTTGGGCCCCCTCTTTGCCTTTCATTTCATTTTTCTGGACCTTTTCTACCTCTGTTTGGCCTCTGTTGAAATACAGCAGTTGAGGGAGTTCATGACAGAGACTCCAAGCACATGTTGTTTAAGACCAGGCTGAATGAAGACTTTTGTTCCTCCTACCTTTTTGGACACTTTTTTTTTTTTTGTAAAGATAGACATCAATGTGTTGTTCCACTTATTTGTGTGTTCATTGGTTGCTTTTTGTGTGTGCCCTGATTGGGAATCAAACTTGCAACTTTGGCAAGTTAGGGTCATACTCTAAGCAACTGATCTGCCCTTTGGGACGCTTTTCAATCTTTGTGACTTCAACCTTAGGGCTGATGTTTTCAAAGACTAGTGAAGTGAAGCCTTTCCTTTTGGCAACAGTGGCTGTTGGAGACAGGCATCTTGTACGGAGGGTTTGGAGCCATTTCCCACATTTGTCTTACAGTTGCCCACATTGACTCGCTCTTCAGTCTCACTGTTCACCCACACGGCTCTGCCAACTTGCAGAATGAAATGCTAGGTGTCACGGTGTGAGCTCCCTTCCCTGGTACTTTTATTCCTTCGAAAGCTGTAGAAAGGAGTGTTCTGATTTGCAAATGGAGGAAAACTGAAGCATGTAATGACTTCAGCTGTCTCACTAGAGATAATCCAGTCACTAGTAGCTCGGGATTAGAATCCTTTACATTTTGCTCTTTCTAGAGCACCATATTAATCCCTTTCAATGTTTCTCAGTCCCATAGCAACTAAATTAAAAACAAATGAAAGAGATTAATAAATGGAAGGAAGCCCTTGGCAAATAGCCTTAGCAAAGATGCTTTTAGAAAAGGTGAAATCTATTGACTTCCTCCAAAAACATCGAAGCTGATTAAACAAACGTGATTTTAAACTAACTAGTTTCCACATCACTACCCTGCCCGGTCATTTGCATTTGACATTCCTGTCTCCGACTCTCTTTTCTCACTGCTTGTTTGGTTAGAACGGCCATGTTTGGCTTCACCTCTGGAGCTCTTACCTGGAGATAAATGACTTTGACAATTTCCATCCCATCTGATGTTTGGGAAATTGGCAGGCAGCACATGTCGCCAGGCACACCCTGACTGCCTGGGGAGGCCGCCACTCTGGGCTCCCTGCTGCGGGAAGGTGGGAGTCTCTGGTCTCCTGCAGCTCTCGCTGAGGTTCAGTGAGAACAGCTTGGCTGTGTATTTTCCTACTTGCTTGTGGCTGGGGCGGGGTGCAGGGTGCCGGGAACAAGGGGCCTTCCCGAGGACTTTTCAGTGCATCCTTCCCTAAGGCTGTTTACTCTTCCCTTTCAGAGCCTAGAAGGAGGCTCATTCCGGGGGAGCCTGAAAGACCCAGCAGGCTGCCTGAGTGAGGGGATGGCGCCGCCCACACCTGCTAGAAACCTGGAAGAAGAGCAGAAAGCCAAGGCCCTGCGAGGCAGGATGTAAGTGGCGTCCCCAGAGTCCATGGACCCTGGTGCGCATGTGTGCAGGACGCAAAGGGCAAGGGTTCCAGCAAGCGTGGGGAGAACTAGAGGGGGTTAGAGAGCCCCCTTCAAGGGATTAGACGCCAGGTCCACTAGCAGCCTCAGGCCACTCCCCTTCCCAAGACAGCCCTCGGTGGCTCGGCAGACAGTTTAGGACAAAAGTATCGCCTGGAGACAAAGAGCTGGACTTCATCTTCGTCAGAGCGCCCTTCCAACCCCAAATTCCCACTCTGACTTCCCTATGGGTTTTCTTTTCACCACATTCTTCCAAGCAGTAACTTGGGCTGTGCTAGAGCTATATTTAAATGCTTTTATTTGGCCTTGCCAGTTCCTTCCTGTGGCCTACAACACATGCGGTTCTAGAGAGAGGGAGCTGGTTGGCGTTGCTGGACGTGCCGATAAAGAGGCGTGTGTTCCCCTGGCTTCCTCCTCATCGCCCAAAGGCCCCAGACCCCAGGACTTGGTGGCTTCTCTGTGCTGTATAGATCAAGAATGTCAGATGAGTTGCTTCCTGGGTTCAACCCTTTTGCTGGGGCCCCTCTTTCATATCTCAAAACTTTATTCTTTCTGCTACTTGGGCCCAAAATGCAGTTGTGTGGCTCTAGGAAAAACTCTTAAATGTGGATAGTACAGGTCAGACTCCAGCCCAGTGCGAAGCACCGAGCCGGTGCCAGTGCAGGGCCCGCAGTGCTTTGTGTCCTGCTCTCTACTGTCCTACTGCTGGGACAGAAAGGGAAGTGTTTGGGTTTGGTGCCTCGGGGACCCCAGAGAGCCAGTCTGAGTGCTGTCCCAGGCAGCGGGCGACAGTGAAAGAGCTGACTCTTTGAGCTCCTATACAAAGCGGTTCAAATCTCAGCCCTGCTACTCACTTTGTCCTCTTGGGCAGTGCCACCCAAGTGTTTTCATCCACACGTGATGGGGTTTGCAATCCCCAGCTTGTTGTAAGCATGAGAAAACCTGTGAAGCACCTGGCACAAGGTGAGTGCTCCAAGAGGAGGAAATCATTAACAGGGAAGAAACCAAGAAAGTGCACGTCCTTGGAGCTGTTAGATCCCACATCTGGTGCTGCTTAGGGAGGCCGTGCATTGCAAGTGGTTATTTCGGAATGTCTGCAGTCAGTCTTGTCTGCCTCGCCTGGGGATTCTGCAGGCCAGTGACTGTGGATACCTACTGAAGAACTGCAGTCTCTATATCTCAAAAGCCTCATTGATGTCAGTATCTCTGAGGCCTCATGGCCCTGGCTGGTGTAGCTCAGTGGATTGAGCACAGGCCTGCGAACCAAAAGATTGCGGTTCGATTCCCCATTAGGGCACACGCCTGGGTTGCAGGCCGGTTCCCAGCAGGGGATGCACCAGAAGCAACCATACATTGATATTTCTCTCCTTCTCTCCTTCCCTTCCCTTCTAAAGATAAATAAATTAAGTTAAAAAATATTTCTGAGGCCTCAGAGGTTTGTCATCAAACAAATATCTTTCTCCTCTTGTCAAATGAAGAAGGAGCTGAAATGAAGGAGGAAAAGTATCATGTTGATCCCTGGGCCTCAAGCTTTCATAACTCAGTTTTGTCAGAGTGTTGTCGTTCCTTCTGCCCTGTGCATCTACAATTGTTCAGCTACAGGTGGGGGAGGCAGAGCATAAAGAACAGGACGAAGTATGCTGGGCTGTGAGTGGCGTTCTTCCTCTGACTGCCGTGTCCCACCTGGGAAGCCCCTCCTCCGCCTTGGTGCCCTCCGCTGTTCCGTGCGGGCCTCTCGCGGGGCGGGCGCCAGTGAGCACGGTCCCCAGGGGTGCCAGGCGTGGGCTTCTGGGTGGTCTGGTCACAGAGGCCGCAGAGTAACTTTCCTGTGAACTGAAGTGTGGAGATTGCTTGCTTCACAGTGAAGAGGACCCCTCATTGTTCTTCTCCTGCTCAGGTTCGTCCTGAATGAGCTGGTGCAGACTGAGAAAGACTACGTCAAGGATCTGGGCATTGTGGTGGAGGTGAGTTGGTGGCTCAGGGGTCACCCGACCAGGGGCATATGGGACCCTAGCGGGGCCAAGGTGTTTTACCGTGAGAGTATGTAGTTTACTGTCTCTGGGTATTTACAGAAATGAAACTAAAAAATGTTACTAGATTAATTAGAATATGTAGGTAAGGTTGTCTTTTTTTTCTTTTTGTACGAGATTTAGTGGGAGGTGGGACCCCAAATGTTGCAGTCTCTTGTTTAGGGCTGAGGACATTCGCCCTGTTTTAGGTGATGAAGTTCCTGTCTGAGGTTTTCATTGGTGTTTAACCTCATGGACATAACAGTCACCAGAGCTGTGAGCCACCATGACCTGCACTAAGCAGGTCACTCTTAGTGAAAGCTTGGGGCTTATGTGTTTCCTCAGATTTTAAGGACAATGTTGTGAACACAAATTCCAAGAAGAAGACAAATTAAAAACCATCAATAAGGCAAGACTGACAGCCCCAGAGTTCAGAGTCAACTTGGCAGTAAATAAAAAAGCTCATTCTCCAGAGGGGTTTACTTTAGTGGGATTTAGACACTTGGATAAGAAAATCTAAGGAAGTAAATGGATAATTTAGATAACTTAGAGCCCTATTACTAAACATCTTAAACAAAAGAATGTGAATTCTAAAAATTGAGTGTCTGATACCTAAAGTGCATTCCGGTTCCTCACACTGGACCTACAAGTCCCCATCCAATGAAATCCGCGGACGTAGGGTTTGTATGTGTTTATCCTGAACCGTGGGTAAACAACCAACCTGGCATACAGAGGCCCTGAATTCTAATGTATGGAAGGTTATCCTCCTCTCCGAGGAAGGATGGGGCAGGCAGGGGCACAGCAGCCTCCACACAGAGTCCGGCCCAGGAGCAGAGGGCCTGGCAGTCTGGAGGCTGCGATCGGGGCCGTCGACCTCAGCGGTGCGACTGTAAGGCAGGTCACGGGACTCCCCGCGTCTCAGCTTTCTCGTCTGTCAGGTGGGGGGGATGAGTGCCGCCTGGGCAACCTCAAAGCTGAAATGAGATCATACGTGACAGCATTTTACAGAGTCTAAAGCATTAACATATTAAGACTTATTTCTAGGCCAGATGTGTCTGGTTCTGAGTCTTCAAAGACATGTAACAGGTTGGGAAAAGGGAGGGAGGGCAAGTGATGTCTTCTTTGTTCTGATTTCGTAAGGGGACTGGAGACAAAGAAAGAGACCCAGAAATTCATTGACTGATTTTTTTACAGAGGAAGAGGGAGGGGGGGAGAGAGAAAAAGAAACATTCATTTGTTGTTCCTCTTACTTTTGCATCCATTGGTTGATCCTTCTTTGTGCCCTGACCGGGGATCGAACCCACGACCTCAGTGTATGGGGATGATGCTCTAACTGACTGAGCTACCCACCCAGGGCCAAGAGCCAGAAATTTACAAAAATGTGTATCACTCAGCACAAGGGTATAGTCCTGGCTGAATAGTGAAAAACCGCGGAAGCACCTGCCCTCGGACTCATGCAGAGCGTGGGAGCCTGCACAGGCTACGTGTTGTGCTCACCCCAGAAAGCTTTCCTGTGAGGACGCTCAGCTCATCATTGCCTCTGCCCCGTAGGGCTTCATGAAGAGAATAGAAGAAAAGGGCGTCCCTGAGGACATGCGAGGAAAGGACAAAATTGTGTTTGGAAATATTCACCAGATTTATGATTGGCATAAGGAGTAAGTACGACATCATTCTGAGGATCGGGCCGGCCTAGGGCTCCGGGACCCTCCTGTCCCCCTCCCCCTGCCTCTGACCTTAGGGCTAGGGTTCGGGGAGAGTCTTCAGTCATTTATCTCAGCCCTGAGAAGTGATACAGTGCTGAAGAATGTGGCTCCCTTTTCTTTATCCCCTCCCTCCTTTTAGTTTTTTCCTGGCTGAACTGGAAAAATGCATCCAGGAGCAGGACAAATTGGCACAGCTCTTCATTAAACACGTGAGTGTTTCCTGCGCCTCCTTCCCCTCCCCTGCCACCAGGCTCACTTACACGCGTGTTTGATTTCCTGTCTCCCCTGCCATTCATTTTCACCCTTCTCTGAGTTGTGGTTAACTTCCATGGCCGTTCGGATGGTGGGCTCTTGCTCCTCCCTTTACTCTTCTGTCCTTGGTATGCAACGGCCTCGGTGCACCCTCAAGGTGGGGACCGCACCGGCCTCCTGTTGCTGTGCAGACCCCGAGGCTCCGCGCGGGCACGAGGGGTCTGAGCGGCTGCCCTCTGCCTCGCAGGAGCGGAAGCTGCACATCTACGTGTGGTACTGCCAGAACAAGCCGCGCTCGGAGTACATCGTCGCTGAGTACGACGCCTACTTTGAAGTAAGCTGCTCGGGCTTTGCTGAACTGGGGTCGGGGGAGAGACTCAGGCCGAGGCGGCCACATTCAGAAGCACCAGCCAACATCCATGCACAGGTGGCCCCTTCAGGATGGGGATGGCTGCCTCCACACAGCCATTAGCTCCTTAGCTAAATTCTCAGGAGTCCGTTGAGAGGAGCCGAGATGGCCAAGCCTGCTTTTAGAATCCCCCACAGTGATACAGACTGCTTGAGAAGCTGCGGTCCTCCCTACGTGGCGCCAGGGCCCACACTTGTCCTCACCAGCCCTGGACACTGCTTGCTGAGGACCCTCCCCCTTGTGGAGGTGCTTGCAGCCCCCTCATACTCTCTGCTTCCGCGCCCAGAGGTTCTGCCCAGCACCTCAGTGTTTGTTCCGCCCCAGCCTGTGACTGTGTGTGGCCAGAGGAGAGACAACCCTCACTTGGAAAGAGCCCTCGGTGGGGTGTTTGTAGAAAGAGTTGAGGGCCCCCGGGCTGTCATGTCCCAGGAGAAGCCCGTCACCCCTGACTTGGCCCTGGAGGGGTGGAGAGAACAGAATACCCATTCCTGCTTGTCCCCCAGGACTTGGGGCCAGGACACAGCATACGAATGTGATTGACCCACAGAAGGTGATAATGTGTGCTCTGTGTTACTAATAACACAGTAGCAGTTCTGTAGGCAGTTCTATCATTCACGTGGTTTGAATATTCTAAAACTTCATTGGCAAACATGAAGACCTGTCTCGTTTGAAGCCCTGAACCCCGATCCAGAGCACCCCAGTTCTTTGGCTCCTTCTTTTCTAACACAATTCCCTTGTGTTCCAGGAGGTGAAACAGGAGATAAATCAAAGGCTGACGCTTAGTGACTTCCTCATCAAGCCCATTCAGAGAATAACAAAATATCAGTTGCTCCTGAAGGTAAGAGAGCTGTGAGCCGGGGTCAGGGCCTGAGTTAGCAAACAGGTCGCCCGGAGGTTCTGTCTTCCCCGCACCATTCCCGTGGGCTTGGGGGGACCCCTGTGGGCTTCTGTCTCGTCTCTGGGTTACTCATGTCAGCTTTGCCCTCAAGTAAATTGTATAGCTCCTGTTCCTGACTTTAAGGCTGGTTAACTCATTGTCTTACTTTGTCACAAAAAGTGAAAAAGAATAAGCATCCAATCAGAGTGAGATACAAGCAGAAAGGAGAGGAAAGGCCCTAGAAATCTTAGATGAGTAATATCTAGAATTTGATCATATTTCACTCTTTTTAATGGTTTTAATTTGATTTTTCTAACAGAAACAGGAGGTAAAGGAAAGAGCTATTCCACTTCCCTTTCCCCCGTCCCTTCTTCCCACAGTCCTCTTTTCTTCTCCAGTCACATGTTCTCTCTCCCCTGCTTCCCTTCGTCCCTCCCATTTCCCACCGTTTTGAATCTCTGACTGTCTGGGGTTTTCCTCTGTGATATATGTGCATTCTGGCTCATGACTTCGTGTCTCAGCAATGCAGAGCATCGCCGTCTCTGTTGGGAAGGAAAGCCTTCTGGGTGTTGCCGCCGTTTATAGGATGCTAGGTTTTTTCTAGTGCTCCATTTTCCTAACCGACTTCACCCTTCCCACGCCCTGCCCTGCTTCCCCGACGTGCTAGGACTTCCTGCGATACAGCGAGAAGGCGGGGTTGGAGTGCTCAGATGTCCAGGTGAGCGTTTTCTGCTTTGTAACGCTGTCTAGGGGCGGTTATTGGGTGTCTGTCTCCAAAGGGGAAAGGTTGTCTCCGGCTGACCTAGGGTCCGGGCTGACCGACCCCTCTAAGACGGTCAGAGCCCTCCAAAGGTGTTGAGCGGGATGAGGGGCAGCGAGTACTAATGCACACGGTGTTTGTCTAGAACGCAAGGGTTCTGCCCTGGGCCACATCAGAGCTTAGCCCCTCAGGTGTTCTCCTTGTGGCTACCGGTGACATGTGGCGGGAAAGCATGATATGTGAACCCTCTAACATCATTCTGAGACTGGGTGTTTCAATGTGTAATTTTATCCATCAATCTAGGTACTGTTTGAGTCTAACATATAAAGTGTTCTATTTTCACTCCCTCCCCCACCCCCAGGGATTATTCCTTAAGTGAGGTCCTTTGAGACAATGTCACCGTGGGGATTGTTTTAAGCCAGAGAGGCTACAGACCATTCTGGCAGGTTATTTTAGGTTAAAAACTCTAGTGTTTCACAAGCCAGGCTAAGCTGTTGCTCGGGCAGCTGGGAAGCAACAGAGAGAAGAAAGAACATACAAGAAGGGAAGGGACTTGATAATCGAAAGTGGGAAGGTAGAAAAAAGATGGGCTGGGTAGCATCGTCCCCACGTGTGAAGCCCCTGCACCGATGACCAACACCCCCACCTAGAGCAGACGATCCCCCGGCCCTCCGAGCGTGGGCAGCAGGGACCAGTGTCCTCTCCTAGAATCAGGAACTACCAGGGGGCCCCTGCTTTCCAGCACGAAACTGCCCCGAGCTTCCTATTTCCGCTCCTGAGCTGCTTTTGTTGTTTCCCACAGAAAGCCGTGGAGTTAATGTGCCTTGTTCCAAAACGCTGCAATGATATGATGAATCTGGGACGCCTGCAGGGCTTTGAGGTGAGCCCCGAAGAGTGCTCCGAACTCTCTCCCCTCTGGGCAGCAGGAGCCCAGGCCACTGTGGCTTCCCTTTGAAGTCTTGTGCCTGCCTCCTCTGCCTCCTCGTGCACCGTCTACTGCTTTGTGCCTGGCTGCTCTGGTTCACAGGCCTAGAAAGCTCATCTGCGTAGGGTATCAAGTGACAGGGCAATCAGACAACTTACAGAGCAGTCAGCCAGAGCAGTGATGGGGCGAGCAAGACCCAATTCTTTATAACTGTGGACCTGGCAGTGACGTCTTCCCCTTCTTTCTTGCCTGAGAAGCACCAGCTATGGTGGCAGAGTGGGACTGTGTGTCGGAAACAGAACCAGAGGGAAAGCACCACGCTTCTTTGAGAGGGTGCTTCTGACAAGCAGGCCTCTATAGTGGGGGGCTTTTTAGTTAAATGAGCGTTGTTCTCTTCTTTGAAGAGGGGAATCAAATTATAGGAGAAACAGCTAGATGTCCCTGGGATTTTGGTTTCCGTCAGTGTATTAGTTCACTAGGGCTGCCATAACAAAGCACCACAGACTGGGAGGCTAAAACAACAGACATTTGTCATCTCACATCTGTAGAAGCTAGAAGTCCAGAATCAAGGAGAAGGCATAGTGGTTCCTTCTGAGAGTTGTGAGCAAAGGGTCTGTTAAGTCGCTCTCCTTGGCTGATAAATGGCATCTTCTGCTCACGTGGCGTTCTTCCTGCATACTCTCCTCACCTTTCCTCTGGATGCAGATTTCCCCCTTTCATGAGGACACCAGTCATACTCAAGTAGGATCACTGCAGTGGCCTCACTTTAATTTTGTGAGGACCCTGTTCCCCAAAAAGGTCACATTCAGAAGTGCCAGTGTTAAGATTTCAACGTATGACTTGCAGGGGGTTATGATTCAACCCACAACAATGAAACTTTAAAGAACAAATTGATTTTTCTGATTTAAACTTAGTAAGTGGTTGTCATTAGTTTATATCCAAATCTCATATAGTAATGAAACATAACCTGTCCAAACATCAGCATCATAAAATTTGAACTGACATGGGTATTGGCTGGTACGCAGTTGTTGTTGAGCCCCGTAGAGAAAGATGTGAGTCTTCCGTCCTGTTTCCTGGTAGTCCTACAACTGAAGATTTTATTATTCCGTTTTGGAGAAAAGGGATTTCTAAAAGTCGACATCATTAAGAAAGTAATAGACCTCTTTCTTCTGGGTAAATTAAAAGAAGTAGACTAGAATAAATATGAGACAGCCTGCTCCATAAGTAAATTTAAGAGATGCTGTATTCAGGTTTGGGTTCTTGTGTTGGATTCATGGTTTTCTTGAAGCAAATTCTTTTGTCCTCCTTGCCCTTCCGGCCCATCTTGATGGCCCTGTCTGATTCCACTGCTTTACTGGGACCAGGGAGTAGGTCAAGGGCCTTTTTTTTGTAGGTTCCCAGCCCCCGACAGCAGACCTGAGGCAGGAGAGTAAGGAGGGTTACACAGCCGAAACATATTCTGAATTCTTATATGGCATTTGAGTCTTACGAGGTGAAGTTTTGTACTTCTTCCATTAGATTTATGCCAGGTCTGAGGCTATTCTGAACAACACAGGTAACTGCTTTTGCTCTTAAACCTTGATGTCCCCATGTTTTCTGAGTAGGAGTCTGGCTTGATTTTCTCTTGGCCTCTGGAGAAACTCAACACTGACAAGAGGAACAGCATCTGATTTGCTGCCTAATTCAATTCACAGGAACTGTGTTGTACATATGTGTGTGTGCCCACAAGAGACCACATACTAGGTTGTTTAATTGTTTTTTCTTTTAAATCAAGTACCACCATCTCCTTTTTTTCATCAAGCCCAAGAGAATCTACTTTGTATTCCTTCAGCTAATCGGGAAGGACCCTGAACGTATTTCTGTTCCTTCTAAAGCTCTTGGCTTTGGGCCATGGAGAAAGTAGCCCCTTCACTTAGAGTCCCTCCCCAAGTTTAAATCTTCTAGCTTTCCCTTCAGCATTGGCAGGGCTGTACCTCATGGGTCAGGGTCTTATGTAATATTAATAGAGTTTTTAGAGCTTTCCTGGCTAGCTGGTCACTGGCTTAATATTAACTTTGGACCAGGGTAGAGATAAGCCTGTTTGGCTGCTGACCTTGACAGAAGTATGATCCAAGCAGAGGTAAGGTGTTTCTCGGGAGCATGAAAGAAAAGTGACCCATGTGCTGGGGTAACATTTGGAATGGGGCACCATGTGAAAAGGATGGCCCAAATTTGCATGGCAGGGTCAAGTTGTCACCTGAGAGAGTATGATTCAGAGGAAGCCCTCTGGCTGCTGACTCAGATGTCGGCTGCTTCTTTTTGTAGAACAGTAGGAAAAGCAAGGCTCTTCGATAGCATCTGTGAAGACTTGCAAGGTTGAGCCATATTTTCTTTGAAGATGTGAAGATGTCTCTGAAAATCTGGTCAGAAACTTGCAAACCAAATAGGCTCCACCAGGCTGTGTGTCATGTGGCCTGGTAGTTGGAGGCATTTTAAGAGGGATCACAGGGCCCCCAAATATCTACTAGCTTATAAAATATGGGCACCTAGCTACAATAACCCAACTGTACATGTTGATCTGTAGCAAGAGACTGAGACCTCAGAAGAATTTCCTCCATTTTAAAATAATAGGAGAAAAGAAGGCCCCAATTTATCAGATTATTTGTGGTCCTGCCTACATGATTTTCTTGGCCATAGTTGGCTCCAGGTTCATGGTCACTGGAGGACTCCAGGTCCTTGTGCCATGCTGCAAGGGAGCCGGGCAGGCACGCTTCTCAGAGCTCCAAGGGCAGAAAGGCCACTTCTAGCTCCACACATCACTTATTTTCTGTTCTCCTTCTAATAAAACAAGAATATTCAGGTCATTTCTGAATATCTTTCTAGCTAATAATTTTACCTTCCATCAGGAGTTTTCCTGGACCTGCTTCTTACCCTTTCCCTGCAGGGCCCTTGTGCCTGCCCTAGATGAATGGGTGTGTCCTTATTTGGTCTCTTATTAGATCCGAGGATTTTGGTATCAGGTCTGCTGTCCATGTCCCCAGAGGGCTGTGGTCATCTCCCCGTTTTTCACTTACCTCACCCTAGCCCTTTTCTCCGTCAGGGCACCCTGACTGCTCAGGGGAAGCTGCTGCAGCAGGACACGTTCTATGTGATTGAGCTGGATGCAGGCATGCAGTCCCGGACCAAGGAGAGGCGTGTGTTCCTCTTTGAGCAAATTGTCATCTTCAGTGAACTGCTCAGGAAGGGATCTCTTACCCCAGGCTACATGTTCAAAAGGAGCATCAAGGTGAGGATCCAGTGGGGATGAGTAGGGACAAGGAAGAGCCAAATCTGGGGGCGCCACTTCCCTAAGACAGAGGAGTGAGTAAGGTCCTGAACATTGAAGGCCCTTCAACCTAATAACCTTCAGGGATGAAGGATGGATATCTGTGAGAAGTGACAGGCTGAGTGCCAGGCCCTGTCTCGGGCCCGTGGGCTCTCCAAGGTCGTGTCATTCACTCAAAGACAGAGACCAAAGTATTTAGCTGTTAGATCCAGGGCAAAAGTTTGGAAACATCTCCTGAAATAAAAACTGGGAGGAACTGTAATATGTTCTTGATTCTTATTAAAGTATTTAAATATGAAAAGGATTGACTTGGTGTCTCCCAGATGAATTACTTGGTCCTGGAGGAGAACGTGGACAATGACCCCTGCAAGTTTGCGCTCATGAACAGGGAAACTTCAGAGAGGGTCATTCTGCAAGCCGCCAACGCTGACATCCAGCAGGCCTGGGTGCAGGACATCAATCAAGTCTTAGAAACACAGAGAGACTTCTTAAATGGTGGGTACTGGGCCTAGCTTCTAGCAGCGCAATTATGTGGAACCCCACACCTCTGAAATTCCTTGGGTCTGGGTTCATGGTGTGTTGTAAGCCCAGATCATGTTTTATGTGAAGTTCAACTTTGTAGTTTCCAAAAACACTTTGTTTAGAACTTTTCTGAACCTGAATATGCAAGTGGAACAGATGAAGTGTTGTAAAGAAGCCCTATCTTTTCAAAGGAAGGGATATTCCCTGATAACAGCCTACATATGGGATGTATGTCTTGTGGCCACCATTTCCAGCTGGTAATAATCGAGGCAAACGTCTGAGATGGGCACACCCTCTTCCTCGTAGGGGCTGACAAGGACATGTGTCTTCCCCTTTGGTGGCTGATGGCTGCTACTCTCAAAGGTTCTCTTGTGTTAACTAGAGACAACTGGGAATTTGGCGGATCAGTTCAAATGCCCCTTCCTCCACCAAGAGTATGAAAGCCTGGATAAGTCATCTCTTCCATGATAGGAGATCTAACACCCTGTGTTTATCTTAAAACAAATAAAAAGAAATATATAACAGAATGCCATGACTTTTTAAGATAGGACATGAAACTTCAAAGCAGTTTCACACTGGTTCCCCAACTGCAGAATAGTTTGAGAAAAAATAAATAAATAAAGTGATCTCTAGGGTTTTTTCTCATTCTAAAAAGTCTAAAATGAAACACCAGCCCAGCCCTGAGGGACAGTAATGAAAGTTGTATAAAATTTATGGTGTCTGAGTGTACAACTTTGAATTAATACTTATGTTGACAAAACAGCTTCATACAAAAGTGTGTGCACATGTCAAATACATTTATTAAATTTCACTGTATCAGGAATTTCTGATAGACTCTAAGCTGGGATGAGGCTTCTAAGTTCATCCATTCAGGACAAAAGAAAAATAAAGTGGATCAAGAAGTTGAAACCAGAAATAACTGGAATGGCAGTGCCAGTGTCTGTCCTCTGTGGCCGGGCACCGCGAGAGGCATCTCACGTGTACTGTCCCGTTTAATTCCCACATCAACATGGAAAGACAAGTAGTGTTGTCATGCATTTTTAAGGTGAGGAAAAAGAGGCTCAGAGAGGTCAAGAAACGTGTCCAAAGTCGCAGAAACAAGGACTTAATTAAACCCAGAACTATATAACTTAAAATCAGGGTCTTACCCATGAAACTGAAGTATAGTAGCCCGTGGTAGAATACACATTTACATATGGGCTCCCTACCAAACAAAGCAAAGAAAGAAACAGGGTCAAGCATAAGACACTGCATCTGTCAGGTGGAAACAACCCTGTCAGGCCACGCACAGCGTTCCTGATGCTGCGACCTAAGCTATGCAGATTGAGGCTGGCGGAAGGACACAGTCTCAAAGGTTTGAGTGCAGTTACTGTGTATAATCAATCAGTGAAGGCCTGCGGTCCATGAGACAGGCATTGCCTCAGCAGGTCCGTTTGACAAGGCCTGCTTCACAGCTCTCTGCGGTCTGCTTAAAGCTTAGAACTGCCTTTGTTGGAGCACCGTCAATGATTCAGACTGGTTCGTGGCTCCGAGACCTCCCTCCTAATTTTAGTGAACCATGACGCTGTTACTAAACTAGACTATCAATACCTCAATATTTTATGCCTGCAGCACACTCTCCAGGGAGAGAGGCTGAGCTCTGACACACTCAAGAGATGTAATGATGGGCCAGGGCCAACTTACTCAGAGACACGTGCGGGCATCTCAGAGCCCATCTCTCCCTCCTGAGACCTCAAATAGAAAGGAAGTGTGACCTATGTCACGTCCTCTTGGAGTTCATACCTATCACTACAGAAATATCTTTATAATTGAAAGTTCTCTGGGCCCCAGCTGTTAACCCACTTAAGTAATTGTTTCAGTGAATACTGATAAAACCCACACAATGAGGCCAGCCCTTGAAGCCGTGATTACAGAATCTGACTGGTATGGTTTTGCCTGGCTGTTTAGGACTCAGACCTTGGGACTTTGTTATCGTCAACTCAGTAAAACAAAGCTCACATCTTTGCTCCTTGACAACCACTTTTCCAGTCTCCAAACCCGAGCAAACTCTCCATGCTTGGCTCCTTTTCCCACAGAGGCTGGTCAGAGCCAAGTCTGCCTCCAGAGCACTTGCTTCACCGCATCCGTCCGCATTCCCACTGACGCACTCTGGGTAGCAGTCTCTCCTCCCAACCGCTGCTTGATGTCATTCAGGTTCATTAGGTCCAGTCACTTTTCATGATCTTCAGGATTAAATCCAGACTCGGATTTCTGGATCTCTCACATGGCTCCTCCAGCCTCCCCTACCCACCTCATCTCCTCTTTTCCCACTGGAGATGCATGGCCCTGTCCTCCTGGTGACCTGACTCCATCTTGTTTCCCAGACACACTTCACACTTGCTTCCTTCCTGCAGAGTCTGCATGGTCTTTATTGCTACCACCTGTATACTTATACACCCCATGCACACACATACTACAGAGCCCTCTCTCCCTTCTTTTGCACAACGCTTTGCACCTTACATATGGCAACCATTTGGGCTTTGTATGCATATTTTCATTATTCAGGTAGGTTTCTTATTCTCACAGTAGAGTACAAGTTCCTTAACAACAAGGGCAGGGTCTCCCCATGATGCCTGTCACGGAGCCTGTCCCTAAGAAGCCTCCAAAAGCTCTAAGTAACCGTCCACTCTTGTTCCGCAGCACTGCAGTCGCCCATCGAGTACCAGCGGAAGGAGAGGAGCGTGGCTGTGATGCGGCCCCAGCCTGCTAGGGCGCCCCAGGCCAGCCCCAGGCCCTACTCCTCTGTCCCTGTGGGCTCTGAGAAGCCCCCAAAGGGCCCCAGCTATAACCCGCCTCTGCCACCCCTGAAGATATCTACCTCCAATGGCAATCCAGGGTTTGACTACCACCAGCCTGGGGACAAGTTTGAGGCCAGCAAGGTAAGTAAAGGCCCATTATTCCCATCCTTACCGCTCTGAGGGAACAGCCTTAGGGCTCACTTTTAGAAAGTAGCATTTTTTAAAGATTTTATTTATTTTTAGAGAGAGGAGAAGGGAGGGAGAGAAACATCAATGTGTGGTTGCCTCTCATGCGCCCCCAACTGGGGATCTGGCCTGCAACTCAGATGTGTGCCCTGACTGGGAATAGAACCAGTAACCTCTGGGTTTGCAGGCCCACACTCAATCCACTGAGCCACACCAGCCAGGGCAGAAGAAACATTTTTTTATGGTGATCATTTCGGCAGGAACAGCCCACTGGATACAAACAAGTCTGTTATTTCTCTTTCTTCCCTGCAAATTGAGTGTGTTAGACCAGTTTCCTATCTCAGACATTCTGTTGAAGGGCTATTGTCATCTACAGAAACTCTGAACAAATCTAAGGTATTATTGTAGTAGCAGTTATGAAAACCAGGCTTTATACCAAATTCAGTAGTCGTGCTATAGATCATGTAAAAGTCACAACTCTAGCAGTTGACCTTTTACAGAGTTTGCCTTTTCTAATGACGAGCCGCCAAAGTAAGCTCACAGTTCTTCATACCCCATTGGCTGATGTGGCAAGAAGTTACTCATGTGTGTGATAGGGAATTGTACACCTAGTGTACACATTTGTTTTGATCCTACATGGTAGTAGGAGCCAGAGAACAAATGGGAAAAGAGCTAGATTAGGGATTAGGTGATCGGGTTTCCATTCCAAATTCTGCAGCTCAGGTGCCCTAGAACCTCCGCAAGTTAGTTAATCAGCTTAGGCCTGTTTCCCCTGGAACTCTGTGGGTCCGTGAACAGGAACATCTGCATTTTGACCTACGTGTTCTGATTTTACACTTTCGTTCCTTTTACCCAAATTATTAGATAGATGATAGTGATTTTTTTATTAATGTGTTTAAATTCACTTCTGTGCTAGAGTAACTATACTGACTTACTTCATCATATCACCCAGAAATGATTCACCACCTTGAAAACCCTCTGCTCTTGTGAATAATTTGAAGTCACATTGGCATTTTGTCACAGATTTTGAAGAATGTCTGGTTCTCACTATGCTCTGTGAGGCAGCCAGTCCTCCCCGGGAGTTCCAGGTCTGTCTAGAAGCATCTTCCCTGGTGCGAAGCCACGGGAAAAGACCATAGATGGAGGGCTTCTGTATAAATGAGTTCAGGGGGACCTGGAGGAGTTTTGTTCCCACAGGAGTTGGGTCATGACCTTGCCCACAAATCGGGCAAATGTCTCTTGTTATTCCTGTTGCAGGGAGGGTCAGAATACAGAGCAAGACCAATGCTTCTTCAAAAGGAAGAAAAAAATGTACCACATGTGTTCTTCCCACTGGGCATTATGACCCCTTACTTGTTTGCCCTGGCTTCACTTCGTCCGGGTGCTCACATGTCCCTCTGCCAGTACCACGCTTCTCCCTCCATAATCCGAGGATGCAGGCAGGACGGTTGCATGCTAGGGAGGGCCTTCCCGGTGGAAGGTGTGGTTACCCCTTTACCTAGGCCAGACAGTGTCTCTACCTATTCATCCTTGATTATATATTGTGTGAGACAAGAGTGTGTTTATGAATATAATGTCATTACTCAAGATAATATTCCGCCTGTTATTTACCCTGCTAGTGGGAGGTTTGGCTTTTCAGCACACAGTAGGATGTCCAGCAGGCCCCTGCAAACTGGCCTTCTTGTACCTGGGTTCCTCTCCCCCGTCTCCCAGCAGAGTGACCTGGGAGGCTGCAATGGGACTTCGTCCATGGCCGTGATCAAAGATTACTATGCACTGAAGGAGAATGAAATCTCTGTGAGCCAAGGTGAGGTGGTCCAGGTCCTCGCCGTCAACCAGCAGAACATGTGCCTGGTGTACCAGCCTGCCAGCGACCATTCGCCCGCGGCCGAGGGCTGGGTCCCAGGCAGCATCCTGGCACCCCTCACCAAAGCCACGGCAGCGGCAGAAAGTAGTGACGGGAGCATCAAGTAAGTGCCTCATTGGCTTCCCCGGGAGAGGAGTATGTGGATTAAAAAAATTCCAAAACAAACAAAGAACCCAAACACGCAAACACATGGTAGGGAACCACTGCTGCTTAATCTGGACAGTGCTGCCGGGACCCGTGTCCGAGTGCTGGAGCGCACGCCGCAGGGCGCCCGGGCTGGATCGCGCTGGATTGTTTTGTTTGCGTTGATGGTCGTGGCAGTGGTTTTCCTTTCCTTTTCGTTTATAATTTTGTGTTCATTTTTTCCCTCTCTTTCCCGTCCTTGTTAAGAGAACGACCCCACTGAGACCCTAGGTGACAAAAGCCTTCCGTTGCTCCGCTTGACCCACCACAGGACTCACTGGACTGGACTGCTATTTATATTGTATTAAGTTACCGATATATATATTTTTTGATTGACACCAAAAAATTACCTTAGCACAAATGCCAGGCAGGCCCGTGCAGGTCGGAGGCCCGCTGCTGCTCCCAGGAGAGAGGGAACTTTTTGGTTGTCTGTGGCAAGACCTCTGTACAGATTGTACCTTTTTTTGTTTTTTGATTTCCCCTCCCCTGTTCCTTTAATATGTGTTCACGGTAATTTGTAAGATATTTCCTTTCCTTATTTTGGTTGCAAAGACCCTTCCGAACACATTCCTGTGTAAAGTATTTTGCACTATTTAAAGAAACCCGTGCGGACGGAGTCAGGCTGTGCAATATGATGGAGAGTCACAACGTTCACCATTGTACCTGCGCTGTAACGAAGGATTTTAATGTGCTATTTTAAATATGTAAATAAATTTTCACCATGAGCATGTTTTAATGAGGTTCAAGACTAGTTGACCCTTTTTCCCCATTCCATTATTCTGGGGCTTTTCAATATGCGAATGATTCTTCTCCTACCCCCAACCCCTGCCCTTTCTTTTCTTTTCTTTTCTATATTTTGGGAGTTGGTTGAATGCATTGGCAGGCTTTTCCTCCACAAACAGTTGCTAAAGCTCCAACCCCAGCCTTCCCGTCTAAATAGCCCCTGTTGGTTTTCCTGTAACCTCAGATGAGGAATGATGCAGACTGGATGCTGTCCAACGGGGTGACCTTGAGGTGCTCACATGAATGAATGACTAGAGGAGAAGGTAGTGTGTGGCTCGCAGCCCCCACTGCTTGCCATGCTGTGTGGTCAGTGATGTCGGGGGTGGAAGGAGCTCCCATCAGACTTCTGACCAGGGTCACCAACAGAACTGTGCTTCGTGGGCCTTTTCCATAGCTCAGTGGTTAGAGGCTCCCGACCTCACCCTGGCCTTTCTGGGTAACTACAGGCCCAACTGCCAATTAGCAGTGGCCCCTAAGGCACGAATAGGCCCAATTCATTTTGTTTTAAAGGTGCTTGGCTTGGGTGCCCTTTACAGAGCTTTAAAGATAAAGATGCTCAAGGCATTGAAGAAGTTCTGGTTCATCGGTGGCCTTACAGAACTAACTCGTCATGATTTGTGATCTAATTATCTAAGCCCTGAGCTCCTCCTCCTCCTCACCCTTGGGTCTTTCAGTTACTTCTTCACGCCCTTCTGTGGGAGGGCAGGTAGGAGGGTGGTCAGGCTGGTCGAGAGACAACAGGCTCGATACAAATTGGTCATTCTGGTTCCTCGTCAACCACTCTTGTCAACCACTCTTGTACAAGGCGGGGGTGGCACAGAACAACAGACTAAAGCAATTGTCATTTACCAGTGAAGGACGCACACCGCCCGCACCCCAGGGCCTGCTCTGACCGCAGAGGTCAGAGTTAGTGTGACACCGACAGGATCGATGTCGCTGCCACCCTGTCTCCACATCCGTCTCTGGGCTTGTGGCCAAGAGATGGGGGCTCCCCAAACCTTGATGACAAGTTCTTCTGGGAAGAAAATATGAAATTGAGCCTGTCCTGCCATTTGCACTACCCTGAGTCTCCCCCCGAACGTTATTTATGACATTTGACTCTCCTCACCAAGGGACCCAGAGGGTGCCAATAAACATAGGGACACACCCCACTCTCACACAAGCACACACGGTGCTGTCTGCCCTGGGGGTCTTCAGCAAGCACTTGCCTGGCTCGGGACATTCTCAGAAAGAGCTAGAGGCATGGATTTGGGGGTAAAGCTATGAGATGAAAGTCTGGAGTTCACAGAGGGATGTCATCTGGGGTTAGCTTCCATGACTGGCTCCCATTCAGATACAGCAAATGGAGGAAGGAGCTGGTGTGCGTGGATCCCAGACAGCCTGCCTACCCAGGACCCACAAGGGAAGGTCCGGCCAAGACATTCTTTCTTGCCTTTTAAAAGAGCCCACTTTTCCCAAAAAATTTAAGAATGTGACGATCATTGCTCTTGCCTATGCAGAAGGTGGATTTTTGACCATGTGTGTTAGAGATAAATATTTTGGGGACACCTTTCTCAGAACATTCTAAAATTCCTAGCGTATGTGGAACTTTGTGGAGGGGATGCTATACATTTTGGAGGCACCCTCCTCCCTCCTAAACCTCCTATGCCTCTTTCTCTCCCGTCTCCCTCAATGGAAGTGCTTTTCATGAGATCTGGTCTACATAGGCCTAAATCTGACCAGGAGACACTGAAGGGAAGCCAACCTCACTAATCTCAGACAACCTTGGGGCTTCATCCAAACTCTGTGACCATGCCTGAAAGTGACAATGCCTGCCCAGGGCCATTGATGGTGTGTGTGACTTGGCTTTTGGTGTCTTTGTCTTTGAGTCATAGCATATCAACAGCTCTGCTTTAAGCCCCTCTTTGCGAGTCTGTGGAAAAGTACCCTCGTGGTAAGAAAGAATTTAGGACAGTGTGAAAGGGCATCGCTGCCTGTCCCTCCCCAAGGGTGTATTGTGGTTCTTCTCCCAACCGGAAAACCTTAGTGGTCGACACAGCCCGGTATTCACGAGCACCGAGTGACGTGGATAGCATAGGCCAAAACACACTTTATCTTAAACTGTTCAGATGAATGAGTGGTGCTCAACTGTTCATGAAGTCGAATGCCCCAGAAAATCCCATCTGTACTGCAGAGTTTGGGAGTGGTCACAGCCCAGCACAAGTGAGGATATGGAAGCCTGAAAATCACCCTTTTGGAGGTCTATGCCTGGTCCCGGGAAATTGCCAGCAGCTTATACACTATGGAATATTCTACTTTTATCCTTCCTGTGCCCCTCCTTCCCGCCATCCTTCCCCTACCCACCATACCCTTCAGGAAGGGAATTCCTGAGTCCTGTAAGACCTCATCAGTAATTTTATAAAAATCAGCCTTGGTAGCGTTTAATAACCTAGTACTCGTGTTTTTCACAAATGCTGCAGTCAACCTGGTACATCTGTCAGGAGGAGTCAGTTCATCCTCACTCGCTTCTCATGGGAGGCGAGGTCAGCCGCGTGCCACCGCAGGGGCTGGTGTGCAGGTGTGGGCCCTCGGAAGCCAGGGTGCGCCTGGAGCCCCTGACCTGCCATTTTGATTGGTGCATTTTTTGGTACAACAGGAAGTCATGTTCATGGCATACTCTACGCATGAGAAAGCGGGCGGAAGTGGAGAGCACGGGTAAAAATGAAGCCACAGGGTCTCGTAAACCCAAGGATATTCTGGGCAGCAAAGTCTCTGTTAAAGTGAGTAAGGCATTCTGGAGCCGTGTCCCACCCGTCATCCACTCCCACCCTGCAGCATTCTCGCGAGATCTGGGAGGATGGGGTCCCCCCACCCCAGTGTGGGAACCAGAGGGGAGGTAGTTTAACAGGACTTTGCATGCAAGATCAATTTATTTTTTATTTTTTATTTCTCCTGGCAACTTCGATTCAAGTAAGTAAGTATCTCTTTTTTTCTTTTATGACTTTATACTATGCAGATGTTTTATAGCAAAATTATCTGCAGCATTATTCTCTTAGAAATGCAAGGCGCTTGATTCATACTGAAGTCCTCCAAGTTGCCCACGCGGGCAGTGCCCTAGGTTTGAAAAACACGTGCCGGGTAAAGAGATGTGGGGGGCTTTCCAAACCCTCAACCCCGTGACACCTGAGGTTTGGAATGTAAGGGCCGCTGTGCCCTCGGTTAAGTTTCATTTCTTTTCCCCAGAATCCAGACGTCACTCTCAGGCCTGTGCAGGGCAGGGAAGGGTGGCACGTTGGTGAGGCCCAAGTCACTGCTTTGTGATAATCCACTTATTATTCTCGACTCACCCATTACAGGCTTTGCCAGGCTCTTGTTGCCTCCCCTCCTCAAAGCACTGGGATCTGTTTTCTTCCCACTGTGCCCTCTGGAAAGTGCTGACTCTGGAAAATGGAAATTAGTCGGCCGAGGTTCAATTGCGCTTTAATGTGTGTTTATCTACCCGGCACTTTTTCCTCTCCCTGAGCAAAATAAGAACGACTGAAACCAGTTCTAACGTCCTTCTTGGGGAAAAGAAATTGTATTCTCTCCTCACCCTCATCCGGGAAGGCCAGCCTGGCACACGGAAGACCACAGTTTAAATTCAACAGCCCTCATGCTTCATTCGGTTGCTTCCATTGCTGTTTCCTGTGAGATGCCGGCTGTCCGGCTGTCCGGCTGTCCGTGGTCCCAGCCTCCACTCCTGAGCAGAGCATGCTGCCGCCCTTGGTGGCCCGCACCCCGCCTGGTCTTTCTCTGCCCGGTTTCCCATTGCCCGTGCTTCTCTGAAGTCCTCCCCGCTCTCTAGCAAAAGCTGCCTGTGTTCTAACTGTGTTCTCTTTCTTCCCCCTTCCTCATGCTGCCGTCAAGGAGACGAACAGTTCCGAGGAGTCAGAGTGTGATGATCTTGACCCTAATACTAGCATGGAGGTAGAAGCGGCTATTGTTGTCCTGTTTTTTACAGTGATTGTCTTTCTTAATGTGTTCTGTGACAGTGGCCTTGCCAGAGTGACCAGCCAGACGAGGATAAATTGTTATGTCAGAGCCTCTCTGGGTGTTCCATCCCAACTTGAAAAACAAACAGACAAACGTTACTCAGATTTTGATAGAAAACTCTCCCTAGATGTCTTTTTTAAAACACACACTTCTGTTTCTCTTAAACGCTTGCTTGGTATTTTCTTCTTTTGCCAGTTTGACTTTATATAGAAAGTGTTTAACTTCATTATTGGAAACTTAGAACACATTTTGTTCATGGAAAACGGCATTATAAAGAGTGGTTGCTTTCTAGCGGAAAAACAAGAAGGCACTAGTTTTAGTTTTCTCCCGCTTTTGCCTCTCCCTCCTCCCTCCCCTCTTTTTGGGCCCCCTTTACCCTCCTTGTCTGGTTCTCCCAACGGGACCCGTTCCTCCCTTGAGAATCCAGCAACATCGTGTTCTGAGTATGATTTTGTGGAGACCAGGCACCGGTCACTGTGTACAGCTGGCTCGACAGCAGATGAGGAGCAACCGCAGCAACCCCAGAGCCCGCCTCTGCCTGGCCCCCAGGGCTTCTGGGCAGGGTCTGTGCCCCCGTGAAGGAAGTGGAGTGCGGGCACAGCCAGCCCCCCCAGAGTCTTTGCAGAGGCCTCTCTAGAGACAGAGTCGGAGATGCTGCCTGGGGGCCTCTCCCAGGCTCCGGGGTGATGGGATGTGGGAGTGGGCCCAGCACCGCCACGGGCAAGAACATTGGATCAGCTCCCAACTCCTTCTAGGCCAGAAGCTATTTGGGAAGCGGGAGCCAGGCCTCTCACCTGGCTCACCCGTGAACGGCAGCCATTGTGGATTTAACCCCAGAGAGTTAGAGCAGAGTTGGGTTGGCCTCCCCTGCCATTTTTTCTTTCAGAGTTCACTGAAACTCTCCCCCAAATCTGTGCCTCCATCTCCGATAATGGATAAAAGCTTAGAGAGTTCCTCTAAGTACAAAGTAGAGAATTTTTTTTAAAAAAAACTTTGTTCGTAGCCCTAAGTTTTTCACTGAACTAGATGGGTTTTTATTGTTTTTATTCTGATTTGACCTAATCTCAATGAAATCCATTACCCTATTATGACAATGACCACAAAATCCAGGAAAGACCACGCTGCCCAAGACATGGTAAGTTCTGTGGAAGAAGCCAGTGGAGTTGAGTCGGGGCCAGAGACAAGTGGTTGAAAATTGGAGTTCTGCCAGGATCAAGTAGCCCCCTGTGGATGTGGGTAATGCCACAGAACTAAATCTGGCAGGTGTGGGTCGGTGCAGTGCTCCGCTGTGGGAGGAAGTGTGTATTGTTTGTGTAGCCTACGTGTATCTTAGAGAACGAGCAAGCCGTGGGGAGGAGGGTCTGGCTCTGCCTGTCTTGCATTTCATAGGATAGGCACCAGCTCCCGTGGGGCCCACAGCTGTCAGCTCGTAGATGCCCAGTGGCCCCTGTATCTCCAGCCTGTGCTGCTGGCATGTATGAGAGATGTCATCTGCAAGCAGAGGGAGGGCAATGCCAGGTATCTGTGTTCCAGAAGGCGATCTGGGAACTTTTTCAGCTCTGGGAACTGGGAGAGAAGAGTGAGGGACTTTGCTACTCTGCTCTCTAAAGGAAGCAGTGGGTGCAGGGGAACGCGCACTGAGGTTAACTGCGTAACTGGATGCCCCACTCTGCAGTTAGTGGAGCACAAGCGCATGTAGGCACGCACACACATCCGAGCCCTGCTTTGTTTACTGCATGCGTTTCTGAGGTTCCTGTTTATCCACACCTCGCAGGCTTTGCACGGCCTGTGTGCGATGGGTCCCGGGGAGGTGCTATGAGGCACAGAAGCAAAGGCTTTAGGGTGTCGGTGCTGAACAGAGGAAAGCCAAAACTTGTCTCGATGCAGGTCCAAAAAGTTTTCAAATTCCAATCAACTGGACTCTCAAGGGGTGTGTGTGTGTGTGTGTGTGTGGGAACTGCGAGTCTTCTGGTCGACCCTCATTTCTGTGGTCGGTGCACACTCAGCCCTTGCATAGTCCATGCGGGCCCTTCTCGGCACCTGTGAGCCCTGCTGAACTGTGTTGTCACCTTGAAATTGACACTGAGCACCTAAGCAGGTGCTGAGGAAAAGCAGGCATCTTGGCACGCTAGCTTAGCATTTTCAGACACAAGTAACAAATAAGATATAGAAAGTCAAACTGTTCAGTACGAGTTGAGAACGTTCTCAAGGGGGAGGTAAGTAGACCCTTACCGAAGCGTCCATTGCAAAAGAAAGTGGCCACAGAGGCACTGGAAGGGAGCTCTACTTTGAAGACCTGGCTTCAGAAACTGATCGGAGGACCACCTCTTGGAGGCTTCTTGCTGCTAAAGCGATAGATTTGGAATCACTGCCAGGCCCAGCCCGGTCCCCAGCCTCACTCCTGCCTCTGAACCTGACGACCATGACAGGTGTCATCCCTGCGAGAGTGTGTCCCTGTGCTGGACTGAGCAGCACTGTGACTCCACGGCCCATGTCCGCAGCCTGTCGACACCCTTGACGCGGTGCCGGCACCTCAACCCCGTCCCTCGCTGTGGGGGGGGGGCCCTTTTCCTGCTTCCACAAGCCTGTCACTACCCGAGCATTTTTTGTCTTTTCCTCGGTGAACTGAAGCCTTCCTATAAGGAGCCGTTTCCTGGGGTCCTTACTGCCACACCGGCTGCTTGCTAGCCTCAGAGCTAGTGTATGTCCCACCATACCGTTTTAGGGAGGTATACTGGCACATCCTTCAAAGCTAAGAGAAAAATTAGTCCCTTTGAACCCTAGAAATCTGATTTACAGCGCTTTCCAAGAACACCCAATTATCTAAAGGAGGCAATTCTGCTCTCAGTTACAGCGTTTTCCCCTGTAGGGACACGCATGAGGGTTCCCAAGTACAACCCCACTCCTTACTGCCAGCACTGCCGGCCACACCACTGGCTGCTGCAAGACTGGCTTCAGGGCTGTGTGATCCCCTCCCGGCCCATCAGCCCTTTCTCCTACTGACCCGTGACAATACCTCAGCAAGAACTGTTCCCAAAGTGACAAGGGTCTTCCCTGGTTCAGCTTACCTCTTCAGCTTGCACAGATCACACTTGGGGATAGGAGTGGAGGGGACATTATGGATGAGGGGGATGTTTCCACATGGAAGAAGAGTCAAACAGGCTGAAAATCAACCACTGGGCCATCTTGGGAGCACGTTAATACTAATTCAGTTGTTCCAGGACAGCTCAGACCACTGGTCGCCTTCCGTTGATAAGGAGCTCGGATGTGGAGACAGGCTGGGCACCACACGCTCACCCAGCAGCCTCGTGGTGCTGCTGCTGCCCGACCCAGGCTGGAACCAGGCTCGGGGCTTGAGACTCAGCATCTGCCCTCTGAGCCAGTGGCCCTTTCTGAGAAGTCTGGGCTGGAGTGGATTTCTGTTAGGACCGGGGCTGAGCCGGGTGCCCCACCCATGCCGCCTCTGAGAAGTTGCCTGTGGGCTGCGTGGGTGCTTGGGCACCTACCTCCCAGGCTTCATCTTCAGGGACAAGGATTCTTAACCCAGCTTTTAGGTCAAGCCCAATTAAGCAAATGCATTTTAATTTTTCTTAAAGGTCTAATACCACCTTCAGCAGAGAAGGTCAGTCCCCAGCCACGTGATGCAGGACATGACTGAGCGCAGGCATTGCCGTGGCTGTGGTGCCAGCCATCAGGTGTTCTGCCCAGATGCCCACTTTCCGCAGGAAGAGCAGGGCTGGAATCCTGTGGGAGAGGGTTCTGAGAGATGAGGGACAGGAGACACTCGGAAAGGTGAAGCTAAGCTGGGGGGGAAATTTCCAATGAGGATAATGAACATTGGCTTTCAGAGTTGACAAGAACTTGGAACTATTTGGTGGGCTTGTCCCCTTTGTGTACTTTTCAAACTGTGTAAAACATACACAACATAAAATGCACCACCTCCACCACTTTAACTGGCATGAAGCACCTTGACAAGTTGCGCAGCCGTCCCCACCATTCATCTCCACACTTCCATCATCCCAACCGCAATGGTGCCCCCCAAACGGCAACTCCCTGTCCCCTCCTCCCTCCAGCCCCTTGGGAGGCTTTCAGAAGAGGGAGCCGGGGCAGAGGAAGCTGTGACTTCCTGTTGGACGATGGGAAGTTGCCCTGAATGGTCTGTCTGGTTGTCCCTAGTCCACGCCGCCCCACCTTCACCGCCCTGCACCGATCTGGCTGCTCCCCATGTCCAGGTTGCTGTGACTAACACACAATCCTGCCCAGCGACAAGACCTGCCTTCCTGTGCCAGGGTTCCTGTCTGACTTTGCTATTCAGTGATCCAGCTCGACAAAGAGGGATATCATTCCTGCCCATCCAGCTTTCCAAGGCTGAAGTACGATTTAGATAAAAATCACACAAAGGCAGCAGCACATGGCAAGAACTGTGGAACGGGAATCAACACCTGGGCTCAGGGCGGGCAGCCTCTCTGAGCCCGGGTTTCTCTGAGGGATCACACAGCTCCAAGGGGACAGGCGCTTCTGTATGTGACATGGAGCCCCATGAGCACCATGCAGATCTAAGGTGTGATGCCGAAGGGCTTTGAGACCCTTCGTTCTGAATTTCTGATTCTGGAAACAGTGAGACTCCATCAGAAGATTCTGTACCTTGCTCCCAAACTTGCTAAGCAGGGGGTGTGGCAAGAATGGCCTCCAGAGAACGGACTGGATTGGCCACTCCCTTCCCTGGGAAGGGTTGGAATGGCCAGAGCTGCCCCTTCTGTCCTTCCCCGCCCCCACATTCCCCAGCTCCAGCTTCCACGTCTTCAAAGAGCTGGCCTGGTGCTCCCACCTCAGGTGCTCTGGCTCCTCGTCCCAGAATCGGAGCTCCAGAGCAACCTGGCCAGACAGATGGACAGAAACTTGCACCCCTAGTCAGCTGACTGACCTCCTGGCAC